GGAGACACACTCCCCAAGGGGACAGCTGATCATATTAAAAGTGGATGACACACCAGTCACAGCCTTCTCTGTTCACTGCAAGGCTCTTTTGGCTCACACACCCCCTCTTTGCAGGTTTCCCCGCAGCTTGCCAGCTGGGCAGCCAGTGTAACCGTAGAGCAGGAAACAGCACTGGAGGGTAGGAGTCATCAAAGCTCATGCTGGTGAATCATCAAACTGCAGGCTTCTGAGACAAAAAACAAAACAAAACAAAACAAAAAAACCTCCATCTACACATCTGTCTGCCATGCAGAAAATGTAGGGAAGTGTGCTGATAGTTCATGATCTGATGATCTGTATTGTGCTGCCCATAAGCTTCTTGACTGCATAGGGAGAACAAAACCCACTGCAAACCTGAACCTGAGCAGTGGCTGTGCAAGGATGAGAGGGGCCTGCTGCCTTTATCATGTTGGTCAGAGTAACTCCGTGGCCCCCCATCCTGTAATCCAACTGAGAGAGGGCATGGAAGTTGTGTTTAAGCCACCAATTCAGAGAGGATCTGCACGGATGATGATTTAGCAACCTGGAGAGCCACCAGCAGTGCCTCAAGAGAACTAGTAAGGCAGTTCTCACCACCCTGTCAGCTGAAGTAAGAATAGACTAAAGCAAATGTGTAAAGCCTTGATTACAGTCAAATGTTTGGTAGAGGCAAGATAAGGGTTCATTAGCTAGCAGGCAATCTGGGCAGTCTAGCACTAAGGACCACATACAGTCATTTCTCAGAGACAGAAAGGATTTGTTTGTCTCACCATTCAACATGCTTTTTTTTGCTGAGTATCCCACCAAAACCATTTTCATGTTTGAATTTTATGAGAATCTTAGCTTCTGGGAGGCAAGAAGAAGGAGGGACATTACACCCTTAAGTGTCTGCAAGTACAAAATTGTTCTGCAGAGAAACTAATTCTGGGATGATGGAAAGGTGCTGTGTGCCCTCAGGTGTCCTTTGCACTCAGTGCAGAGCTCAAGGGAGACCTGTGCATGGCACTCTAACTTTGAACACCAAGCTTTGATCCTGATGCAAACCTGCTTTGGCTGTGGGACAGGAGAGCAGAGAAGAGAAGCAGGAACTTCCTTCTGGAGGCGTTCCACAGCTGACAGGTCTCAGTCCTGTGTTGGGACACTTGGCCAGGCAGAAATTGCAGCTGGTCGGGTAAAGGACATGAAGATGTGAACAAGCTGGTCCCTCTCACCACAGACAGAGGTCCTCAAGAGATAATTTAAACCTGGGCTTGCACACTTGCTAACAGACTACTGAATCTCCCTTATGGCTGGCCCTGGAAAGAAAAGGGGAAGGGAAAAGTGACCAACCAGCCCCTTTGCAGAGGCCAGTGAACAGTTCAAGTTGCCTTTTACTGGTCTCCAAAGCTGTGGGAACCCCAGAAGCCAAACCCATTCCAGGGGAAGCCTCAGATGACAGCGTAGCCCATCTGAGAAGGTATGGGAGCACCAGAGGGAAATACAGACAATTTCTGCTTTGGAAGAGGCTCTGTCCCTCCTTTGGGATGATCCTAGTGTCTCTTTGGATGACCACATGCTTTCTGATTTCACAGGGAGACTTGGATCAGTTCTCAAGAGGAAAATGGCTTGGTAAAGGCTGAGATACAACTACTTTTTCCTGCCTTCTACTCTTCCCTGTGTCCTCATTCCTGGCACATTGCAAAGCACAGCCCCGGTCTCCATATGCCAGAAGCCCAGTACAGAGGGGATACAGCAGCTGTGGGAAAAGCAGGGTCTACTGCTGCTCCCAGGACAGGCTGAGCACTTCTGACTGATCGTGGCTGTGTGGGCATGGCCTCTGCTACCCTAACCTGGCCATGGCTTATCCTGAGGTAGAAATGCCTTCAATGCCAAAGGAAATGTTTTCACACGAGGATTTGGACTTATGCTATAACAACCCACCTTGCTTCTCCTATTTTTGGAGACTAAGTGAAGCATGTGCATCTGACTCCAGCTGAAATTCAGCAAATTCTACTTCTTCAGAAAATGCATCTTTGCAACTACAGGATAATTTTTAATCCACAAGATCTAATAACACATATATTGCTTAGGTCAAGACTAGGAGGTCTTGAGGACAGACATGAGTGCTCCCTTCTGCGTAGCATCTCCTCTTTCTCCTCAGCTGTCTTCCTTCAACAAAGGATCTACCACCTCCATCTCTTCAGTATCTACCAAATTTTTCCACTCCATGATTTTAGCTATGATTTATTCACATCCTTCCTATTAGACCCAGAGAAAATATTTTTCTCTCTCCAGCCCCTCAGTTTTATTAGTGCACAAATATGTTGGTTGCACAGAGGCCCGCACATGATGGGATTTCACCCGGCCAGATCAGAATCTACCTCCTCTTGACTGCACACATATCACTGCCTCAAAATTCAGTACTTCATGTAATTCTGATTCTGACAGAAAAGGCTACACTGAAATCTCATCTGGGCTTGTTAGTGATATATTAACTTAAAATACCCTGCTTTAAAGAAGGCTAGTGAAGCAAAGCAAGAAAAACTCAAATCTTCTACTGAAAGCCAGGCCTTTCAAGGGAGAATGAGCTGTTTGTGTAATTGGAGCATTTTCAGTCCAAGGGAGACAGATACTGTGTATTTCAACAAAGCCAAAATATTTATGGTTTATGTAGTCTTAATAGTTCATGTTTGAGTAAATGTAGCTAGTGCTACAGTCTGAAGCCACATTGGTAAAAAATCACTCACCTCATGTTGTCTATTACCAGGTCCTTGCTGCAGCCTCCAAACAGTTTAAACTATGCTGGCTGTAAAAGAACTTAGAAAATGTTCCCAGTGCAGGCAAGCTTGAAGAAGAAACCAGTTTATTGCAATTCATGTAAGTGAAAAATACATGACATTAAGTTGGTTCCCAGAAGCGTTGATAAATGAATAATGGATAAACAATGTCAGTGACCCCCTGTCACTGCGGCGCAAAACTGAGGCACAAAAAAAGAACAGCAGTGGCTGAAGGTTTCATTCAGCCTGGTGGGAAACTTCCCAATAGAAGGAGTCCCAGACAGAGAGGTATCTGGCACTGCTTTATATGGAGATTACTTTCCCCATGACCACTCATTTCGCTATAAATTTCTTCTGCTCTGTGGATTTACACACTAAAAATATGTAATAGGGAAGGAATATAAACTCTCTCTTTGTGGTATCGCTGGCTCACATATTGCAGCTCAGCAGTCATGGACAGCATCCAGCATTAACGCTCAAAGGGACCTGCCATATTTATGACTTTTCCAGACTCACAAGAGCAAGAAAGGCTGGCAGAGAGTGACTGAAGCACAGCTGAATGAAATGCATAGCATAAAGAGGGCAAAATATAAAATATTTTTAGAGTCTGAATTCATAGAGAAATGAGATCCATGCAATGCAACTTGTCTGGGCAAGGATGTGTGTGTGGCAGGTTGCTCTTTCCACAAACCCCACACCACAGTTTGAGTCTGCTCAGCTGCTGCCAATGACTTTTAAGAGGAGAATGCCAACAGTCTTGGAGACAATTCAGTTGTTCCATCATGGATGGAAACAGATGCTTATGCCTAATAAGCTTATGCTTATTAGTCTTATGGAAAGGCTAACAAACTCACCATCATTAGGCGTCTGACTACAAAAAGAGGGTAAAGGTTTTTAAAATTGCACTCACTTGTCCTGTAGTCCACAAAGCTTCCCCTCCATGGCTTAAACAGGCTGAAAAATATCCCTGTGTGTGTTTCAAACATATTTACCAGCTTCTCCAGGAAAAAGAAAAAATTGATGTGCAGGTCACCTGAGAAGAGGTGGCTACAGTCAGAGTCTTATTCTTCTGCCAGATTCTGATTCCTCTGGAACCATGTGCACATGCAGTTGCTCCTCTGTGGAGGCCAGCCTGCCATCACCCAGCCCAGGCTTTGCTGAGGGCACAGTGTGTGCTGATGCTTGTGAATTCCACATGCAATATGGAGAGGGTCCTTGAATTTATAGTGTCTGTTCAGGCTTCTGAGTAAGCAGAGAAAGTGAAGGGAAAAGAGCATTTGGAAGGTTTTCCAAGCTGTGTTCTGCCACACAAGGAATGATTTTTTTTTTCCCCACAAATATAACTGGCAAAATTTGATTTGGGGAGGAGGGAGAAGTTCAAAAGTATATAGTCAGACATTGTTTTACAAGATCAACAATTTTATACATATCCAAATGGAACTGTTTCCATTAAGAAGATCCCCAAATATACTGTTTTCCACAGTAGGCAAAGAAATCCTAATAATTAATCCAATTACATCAAAGACAGCCCATTACCTGTGTTTATAATTAATGTGATCCTGGTGAAGCAGTGATGAGTGGATTTTTACTGATTCTTATTGCAAACAATAGTGGTACCCAGGTTTTTGCACTGACACTCATAACACATTGGAAGTGAGAGAAAATTGCAAAACAGTGGCTAATACCAAATGCCTCCATCCAGAGAAAGCTGTGAACTTACTGTCTGATGTTCAGAGGTGAAAAAGCACCAACAGTTTCCATTTCATCACTTTTAAAATCAAATCACTTGTTCAGGTGCTGCTGTGATTGAAAATACCAGTGTTTGCTTCAGAAATGTTCAGGCTCTCACCTCTGTGAAGAATATCCAGGACTAGGAAAGAAGTTTTGGCCTACACTGCATCTGAATGAAGTGGAGCTCACACTGTGGTACTGATTATTTCAGGTCTGTGGAATTGAAAAAAGCTCTCTCTCGCCACACGCGGTATCAGCTTTCACTCAAAACCCTCCCAAACAGTAAAAACTTTTGACTTGATTGCAGCCGCTAAAGCAGGATTAAATGTGTAACCAGTGTATGAACTGCGATCCCTTTGACTCTAAAGAGAGCCTCGAGCAATGATTCAAAACTACATGAACTTTCAACTTCAGTTCACTCAAGGCCATGGGGTCTTCAGTTGTAAGCTGGGTTTTCCAATCTTTTTTTTTTCTTTTTCTTTTCCTTTGCTACAGAGTTCATTATTTTGCAGAGGATGGGTCTTTCTTCCCTGCAGGGATCTATCTATCACTGCTGACTCTCTGCGTCTTCTCCACATGGAAGAAGTAATTGGATTGTATTTTCTGCACACGACCAAGACAGCAGGGAAACCCACAGCTGTAAGCTAGAGAACCAAGCTGTCTAGAGAGTAAGTACCTGATGCCTAAGAAAAAGAAATGTCTAGCCACAAGATCTTTCCTTTCTTTCCATGGAGGAGCTGAGACATGCTGAACTGCATTCACCAGACTGCTCAGGAAGGTGAGCTCTTCAAGGAGCAGTACAAAACAGAAACACCCAAATAATCCCTACAAAAATGCAGCCCAGGGGCATTATATCATGTGTCTATACAAAACAATAAGTATGCTGTGGGATGCTAACTGTACAGGACATTTCATAAAGTTATAGTGCAATTATTGCAAAATCCAGTGGATTTTTTACACTGCCAGGGCCTCCATGTGCTGATGTATATGATTATGCAGGAACAACTGCAAGACCTCAGCCCAGACAAAAAGGCAAAAAAAGTGCTCTTATTTCATATATTTCCAGATTGTGTTATATTTATTATTACTACAATGCTGCAGAATTCTATGTCGTAGACTTTCTTTTTTTTCATACACCAAAATCCTAACATGATTCTATTTGGGGAAAGTGATGGGATTGCCAAGGCTTTATGCTGTTAGTCTTTAGGAGTTTAGTAGATGTATTACTTTCCTTCAAATGAATGCCTGCTTGTCATTGTCAGCCTTCTAATGTTCGTCGCCCCCCCACACCTCCTTAGAGCCAAGCCTAAAAAAAGAATCTCTTTGGAGCTTGATGTGTTGCTTGTAGCTATGTTAGAGGAACTGTACTATTCTGGGAATGTTCAGGCTCCTCCAAACAGCTCTTCCAGCAGTAACACCGTGCATGGTTTTCATCTCAGCCTTAAGGACTTTCACTGGTCTCCTATCAAGCCTCACCAGCCAAATCCCAAATGCCACAGGGAATGAACTGCACTATACCAGAACATTACCCCCAAACTTGCGCTCATCATCATCATCATTAACATCAGGTTTCCCATGCAGGATGATTTGTGCATTTCTCTCCAAGAAATATTTTATCAACCTTGACTGGAATAAAAGCAGTGACACAGGACGAATACTGTCTGCTATTATTTTCCACTTACAAAGAACACAAATCTGCATGATGAGCCAAATTCTCCCATTGCAAAGATTATTTGTTACATGAACTAGCTAAAACAGCAGAAAGAACCCATTCCTGGAATTTATGAGGAAAAAATTTTTCTTTAGAGCAGCAAAACACCACAATTGCCCCACTCAGCACATTAGCACTTACAGTAGTGATGGCAGTTGCAAAAATGTGGGGGAGTATATGATTAAATCAGTATTTCTTAAATAGTTTTGGAGTATGCAAGCCGATATTTTGGAACAATAATAGAGAACAATGTTCTGAGCTCTCAGAGTTTCTGAGGGGGCAGATTCAAAGGTCTTGCATCACTTAATGCCTCCCAGTGTCCAGATTAATGGAAGAGGGGCAACACAACAGGGTGTTGTACTTGCAAGCTGGATGAGTTATGATTTGTTTTCTTTTTTCTTTTTTTTTCTTTTTCAAGAAAAATACATAATTTAAATGGTGCTGTCATGGAATACTAAAATTACACAGTGCCATACACAGATTTCTTATGAATAAGAAGAGCTGGTGCATATATGCATGCAGGTATTTGTGTTGTAATTTAAAACATAACATCACCGCAAGCTAAACAAGTTTAGAAAACTTCTCTGAGAGAAATTCTTTACCTCAGGAAGAGGATCCACGATAATGAAAATCAATGTGACAGACAGAAATAGCATTTAAACCTTTACTAGCAAGATATGACACATCAAAGGAGTTAAATTGATCTTCCAGCCTTCTGTCCCAAATATTGCTGCTGCAAGATGAGCCTCCCTTTCTTTGTGCTGACAGCTACACAATGCTCCTGTCCCCATCAGTGTACATTGCATGCTGTCTTTGCCACCACCCTCTCTCCATCACCAGACATCTGAGCAACAGTCAAAGATTTGGATTAACAGGAGCAGAGTTTTGCATGGGCAAAAATGCTGTGAAATCAATGAAACCCGAGAAATGTGGACCCCTTAGCTTGTGAGCAGCCACAGACACTGGAATATCAGTAAGCAGCATGACTGAGGCTAAACTTGGTATCATAACAAAGCGTGGGTCTAAATAAAAGCTGCCTTAAACTCCTTGGAGGTTTGCTGCTTCTACATGAGGACTTGTCGGAGAGTAGCTCTCCTACAGAAACAGCCATACCAAATATAGCGTGCTGGAGTAAATGCAGGAGGCAATGCTGGAAGAACACTAAAACTGTTTGTTTTCTTGCTTTCTTTTCTTTTCATGGATGCTGTATCTTAAGGCATTTGTGTATTTGCCCCTCTAGCTCTGTGATTCCCTCAGTTATTGATACAACACAGCCATTTTCAGAAGCCCCAAATCTTTCTAAAGGCCATATTTTGGGTTGAGAGACTCTGTCGTGTTGAGAGACTCTGGTGAGCAAGCTGCTCTCTCCAGATGTCTGTCAGCCACCAGAGAGCCGGATCGTGTCACCTTTTCTGCTGGTCTGCCACTGTTCAGTTGCATAGTTAGCTTGGATTCAGCTGTGTATTTACAGGCAGCAAGGTGCAGCTAGGACAGCAAGCAGCCAGACACAATAAGACAGACATTTGCCCACTTTACCACAATGGCGTCTTTTTATAGAATGGTGGAATGGCTTGGCTTGGGAAAGACCTTAAAGATTATCTGATTCAAACACCCAGGGGCATCAACTGGTTCCATGGGTGGGACACCTTCCACTAGATCATTTTCTGGCAACTTCCCTGCTGCCCCTTCTCTCCTGCTCTGTTCAGGATGCCGTGTGTTCCTCATGTAGCTGTTGTGACCTGCAGGAAATTTGCAAGCATGTCAAGCTGAAGGACCTGCAAAGACAGCAAAGCAGTGACCTTACCTGGAAGCCTAGGTACACCAAAGGCAAAGCTCTCCTGGTTCAAAGAATCCCAGATTTTCACCTGTGGGTTTCAATGCACAGCAGGCAGTAGCACTTATGGGAAGTTTCATTCTTTGGGCCATTTTATTCCACACAGTCTTCCTCCTCTTCATCTTCTTTTAAAATTTTTTTTTTTTAGTTTGGAGTTGTTCAAACTTCAGCACACAAAGCAGGATGTAGTGAGGCCCTTGTATGTCAGTACAAAACCCTTTCTAGAAAAGGTTTTGATTGAAGCCAGGCCAGTTCTCCCCTGCCCCAGTCCAACACTCTTTCAGCTCCCCTGAGGAGTGGCCTTGCAGGAAAACTCTGCAAGCTGCCAAGTCCGGTGCAGCTCCGTGGCAAGTCAGAATAAAACACAGCCACGCCTCTAAATCCCCCTCTGGGCTGTGAGAGTGTCCCAGCACTTTTGTGTCAGTGCAGAGTACATGTCCACAGCAAAGTGTGGGTCTTGCTTGCTATGGGGAGGGGCAGAAACTGAGTGATACCTTCCCTAGTGACCTGTGCTATAACACACCCCTGTGGGTGCCAAAGGGAGGTTAGCCTAGATAAAAGAAAGGCTTTGGACTGCTACAAAATAGGAGATGTCCTAGGAGAGGGTACATGCCTCTGAATGACAGATGAGCTATCTATGGCCACTAGCATGGAGGAGATCACCTGACACTTCAAACACTCAGCAATCTCATCTATAAGCCCACGCCTTTTCATTTTAAAATTAAAATAATATTCCAAATAATTGGAGTACACTCATGCTTGGAAACAGTAGAACACATATAATCTTTTCGATTTCAGTGCTAGAAAAAAGAAGGGGACAAAGCGCCAGGAATTTTTGTTTCTTAGCTGAACCCTTGTAGATTGACTTTTGGTCCAGAGTGGGGTTTTTTTGTGTGACCCAGTGGTAAATTTCTGAACAAAGAGTTTTGTGATACAGAGACAATTCTTGTAAGAAGCTTTTAACTCTAGATGTGCAGGAGGTCATTTTGAAAACTTCTGGTGTCTTTTCTTCTCACAGCAGTGCTTGCAAATGGATTGAAATCTTCCTCAGGGATTTCTGTAACAAAGTGGGTAAAAATTTAAGTGCTTTGTAATCTCTATGGGAAGAGATAGTATCAGGTAGAGTAGGTAATTTGAATTACTTAGAGCAATAATGCTTTTGAAAGCCTTACTTCACTCTTGTGAAAACTAGTTGGTAGCAAAATTACATTCCAAAAGCTTTTCTGCATACTCCCCTAATGAACTTCTGATTTACATGCAGTTTGTAGATATGACTTCTTTCTCCTAATGTCATTTTCTTCCTTTTATTCAAGGCAGATTTCTGGTTTAGGGGGAAATATTATGTAGCGTGTATAGCCGCTGTGGAGGAATTATTGCAAATACCTCATTTGTAATCCTTTTGTTCTTCCACTCTGAAACCTCACGTCTCACTTCTCCATGGAGGAGAGGATATTGTGTTTGACTTATTACAAAGCCTAAAGCGTTCTTAGGATTAACTGCGGCTAATCACTAAAAATATGTCTTCTCCTTTTAGAACTGTTGTGACTCTTCAGCATGGGAAAAATTCTTCCTACTTCAAAATCTGTTTTACATCTAATTTTTGTTTCCCTCCCAAAGGCTGGGCCTGGGCCTCACCAGCATGCTTAATGTCATCAGGACTAAGGACATGAGGAGAATGAGGTATCCCTACCCAGCAGTGACACTATGCCAGTACAAAGATCAAAACCCAAAGTGACTGCACCTCAGACAAAGGAGGAGAAAGGGAAGTTGTTGAGGTCACCACAGAGATGTCTGATTTACAATTCCACCAAGGTACATATGTTGTGTCACAGCTCCGTCTCTTCTCCCCAGTGCCTGTGGAGGCATCTTTCAGCATGACACATCCCATCTTTGACTCACCAGGTAAGACTGGGATATCAGTATGAAAATTAGGCAAATATTGACTTCTTTTGACATAGAATAACTTTGTTGTACCAATGAAACAATATATTTATGTAATGTTTTCAGCTTACACATAACTATGGGCTGGAATTAGTAGGTTTTTGAAAGATAGTGCTGAAGAAAGTGATGTCAGATACTGTCAGTGCTGGGGTTTAGAAAACCAACCGCTAATCTAGTGTTTTCCAATAAGCCACCCTGATTTGCAGCATGAAATAAAAGTTGTCTCCAAAAGTAAGTGAAATAAACTTGTACTTCAAGGCATAATAAAGCTTCATGAGAGGTTGGGGTAGGAACAATATCCCTTTTTGACGCATTACTTTATAACTGGGGAATGTGAAACTTCTTGCATCATTCTCTGAATGATCTAGTCCAGGCCCTTTTAGATACTAGGTAAGTAATTTTTAAAATTTATAGATTCTCCAACTTCTTTCAATTGAAATATAAGTTTTCAAGGGTATTTTACATAGGTCAATTGCTATCTAGACACCAAGAACTTAATTTCCTCAGTCACATTTCATGATTGGATTAGAGGGAGTTCACAGATGCCCAGGGACTGATGAACCACCTGAGGAAAACCATGAAACAACTTAGACCAGGAATCAGATTCTGTCTGACAGTTTTCTAACACCTGATGTGCTTAAATCAATGCTTGATTTTTGCTTGTTTTTTTTTTTTTAATTGCAGAAGACATGCTTCAATTCAGCTATAAAATAGGAACTTAAGGAAAGAGCTTGAAAGTCTGTGGCAACTGATGTATGACACAATTGTGAAGTTTAATTCCATTCTGAAGACCAATGAGTAGACAAAGATTCCTATTTCTAAGAAAACAAAGACATAAATCTACAGCCACTTTGACAAACGATGTGTGGATTTCTCCTGGGAAACATGCAAAGAAGGACCACGCCAATGGAAAAGCTGTCCCAAGATTATGTCACCTACATGTATCATGAAGGAATTTTCTTCTTGGCTGCTCAAAGGAGGATTTTTAACATTTGCCTCCCATTTACTCCACAACATTTCATTGCTGGATAACTTGTACTTTTTCACACCATTTTAATTTGATGGCATGTACGAGTAATGCAGAGACCTTTCTTTCCTAAGGGAAATTAAGAAAATAATTCATTCTTTCACTCAGTAACTCAACTGAATTCAATTTGGGTTCATTATTTTAGGAAAGGTATTTACCTAGTTCTGTCAAATTAAAAAATGGAAAGAAAAATGCCAATAATACCGACCATTTTGTCATCACGATTCTTAGTTCTTTCATGCCATGCTTCCACCACAGAGACCTTAATTTTGCAAAGGGAAAAACTAACATGAAATCTTAGAAGGCATAAGTCACATTTGCAATTTCTGCATGTTACTAAATATTTACATACATTATGGGCATGGAACAAAACTTCAGCAAAGCAGTTTTCACATTTTTTTGTTTTTTGAGCTCATTTTTGAGCTCATTAAAAGGTTTTCATTTTAATTTTTTTCTTACATTTATTTAAATATATATTTGCCATAGGAATTGCATGCATAGAAAAAGGTGTAATAAAAAGGCAGGAGTATCAGCTGCATTATGTGTCCCTAAGAGACAGAGAAAAAACAATATTTGAAAATCTGTGGCACAGGGCCCTTCTGGCAGCTGCTGATCTCATTCCTATCCCTTACATGGGGTTGTTAACGCAAGGACGCATATGGGAATGGCTGAGGACTGGAGAGGCCACGACCAAAGTGAATATTGATTCTCTTTTTCCTTTGTGTGGCTGCCTGTGTAGAAAACATCGATCAGTAGTGCAGCCTGAGAGAAGGCTGAATGAATTAATGGAAGAGAGAACCTTCTCAGAACTACTGAATCCACAGAAAATCAGCCTGGCTTGGGATGCGTCTGGGCTGCAAGTGCTTTGCAGTAGAGAGGAGAGGCTGCTTGCAATTCTCCGGTCTCACGCTCCTCGTTCCAACATCAGCTCTAGGGCGTTAGCATTAGCTGTTCTTATTTCATTATGCTTTTATTTACTGTTGGCAGGAGAGAAGGATTGGAAGCTGCCCAGAGTACTGGCTGCAGCCACTGAGAGACCTCTCTTTCTTCAGGGCTGGCTGCAGCACAGAATTGACGGGTGCTGAGTAAATGTGTTTCATATCCAGAGAAAATTTTCCAGAGTGCCTAAATGGCTTGAAACTGCAGGTTCTGTTGGACAAGATCAAGTAACTTTCTTGGGAAGCTGCTTCCAGTTAACTTTCTCTCTTTTTGTCTCTCTCCCCGTGTTTGTGCATTTCAATTATGCAGAAATTTATCATTTAGCTCCACTTCCCTTTATTTAAGAAGGTAAGGAACAGTGAGCTTCAAAACTGAAACCTTTTAACTTCAAACATTCTGTTTCTGATAGAAAAACACGTATTTCTTTTTTAATTCTCAGTCATGTTAACTGGTAATGGTAACTTTGTACCCACAAGCCCAGAACACTAGATGGATAGACTGCAGCAAAACGAGTTACATGTTGTATTTAGAAACAAGTACCTGTAAAAAATTTACCTGTCTGCCAAGACTTGGAAAAATGAGAAAGCAAGTTCAGCTCAGTACACAGAGCAGTTCCTCACTGTCTGACTCTCCTCATGGCTGCTGGGAAACCTGGCATGTCAGGTAACACATGCTGAGCAAGAGCCAAAAAGCCCCTTGTTGCTTGTAAAAATCAAACAAGCTCCTTGTTGGAAAACAGCTCTTTTCAGAGGCAGTACAGCTGCAGATGATGCTGTAGCCACACTACTCAGCCAGAGTACCTACCATGGACCAGCTTTCAGCAGTGCCAGCAGGTAAGATGCATAACAAGGGATAATACCTTTATTATACCTCCATTGCACAAACAACACACACTAAAAGCAAACATTTACATGAAACAAGCAATGATGAAATATACCTGTTTAGCTGTCCACAGTCCACTAAGTCAGGAGAGCCCCTGGGTCAGCCTGCACTGCTTTGGCCTCCAATTCTTTCCTGACTCATCTGCAGCTCTGCTGTTTCATTTTGGGAGATCTCTCAGTTTTGGCTTTGCCCTGCCAGTAGCATCTGGTGCTGTTCTCTCCTGGCATGACTGGCTGCCCCTTCTGGAAGAAAAGAGATGATTTTTTGAGGCTGTGGTGATCTAGTGTGGCAGGTGTTACACGATCTCAGATAGGAGGTCTCAAGTAGCAGAGTCTCCTGTCTGTTCAAGAGTTTACAGGCTGAATGCCTTTGTAACCTCCTCCTGGGCTTGAGGGTGGCATCAGGTGCTGGGGCTCTTTCACACTGCAGGGTTTGTAACATCTGGCCAATGCCATGGGTTATAACAATAAATGACACCATGCACAACAAACATCTCCAGGGGTTTCTTTGACTTCAGTCTCTAATCATCCAGGGTTCCTGTGTTCCTTATCTGTCTATAATGCTTTAGAAAGTACAATCCTAGTGATTTTGACATTGAGGATTCATGTGAAGCTGGTGCAGAGGCTGGTAAGAGGCTGCCCTGACCCTCTGGGCCTGCGAGTGTCACATTCTCTCTGCATTTGAACCAAAAGTGGAGAGGGTATGGAAGGGTCAGACAGACATCCATATGACCCTGCTTTCCTCTGTGTCATGGGACTTTGTGCACAATTGGCAATTACAGATGTAGCCCTGAGACTCACACCAAGCTTCTGACCTGTTGTCACACACTATTTTATTCAGCATGTCATGTCCAACATGACTGTAATGTCTTCTGTCTTACTCACATTCAGCTCTGTCTCCTGCTTTTTTTAACTTCTCTCCCAGGAATTTATCTTAGGCAGACTTTTCTTCCATTATTCAGACTCAAATCACTTTTCACCACTGTTTTGTTCCACATCAAAGCATGTAGCCTCACCCCCTTTGCACTTAGGGCTCCCAAAAGCCTAGAAAACTGCTCTGAGGAGCTGGTCTCTGTGGAGCTGGGGCAATGAGCTGGGGTGGCTGTACACGTTCCTGTTATTCAAAGCAAACAGACCTGTCCACGCTGTTTCATTCCACCCCCCAGGGATTTGGCTGGGCTATCTCTCTGCCTGTTCACTGTTTTCCCTGTCTGAGAGTGTTTTCTGTGGGCAGTCATGCTTGGCCAGAGGATCTGCTCCATGGTTCTGCTCAGACAAGCCTGTCTCCCATGTGTTCAGCGTATGTTGTGTAAAGAGTGTCAGACCTTTGCTGGAACTACTGGGTGGCTGCCTAAGAGAGATGCTGGGAGTCAGCACAGGTACATCCTGCAGTGCCCACTGTGGGCAGTAGGCTGTAGTGATTGCCAGAGCCTCCCTTCTGGGCTGTACAGGTTTTGCAAACAACCCTTCTGTGTGGCACTCTGTGCAGCATATCCAGCTTGCTGTATTCCAGAGACATTGCTGGGCGCTACCCTCTCCTCACCTGAGAGCTGTGGAGGCCCAGTGACATGTACTATGCTTGCTTGAGAGCTCAGCAGTGACCTCTTTGTGATGCTGGCTGATCTCTCCAGGGCTGGATCTGTTTCTCTTAGTAATTTTGCTTGCATTCTGGAATCCCACAAGCAGCTCTTGCTTTTAATTAGGGGCACTATAATGTCTTCAAAGACATGTGTAGTGGCAGAGATCTTACATCTGAAACATAAGGCTCAATTACCTCATATTTTTATTTTCAGTTTTGAGCAAAATTACTGAGTCCCTCTACAATCTTATTCTGTCCAGGTCAAGTCTTCAAATAACTTTCTTGATGGTTCAATTGTTCCAAGAATTATTTTGAAAATAATAAGTGACTCTCTCAAGTCACTTCTTGTCCTTTTTATTCAGTGAGACAGTGAAAAGTTTTCCTTCCATGTTTTCTCACTCTTTCATGACCAACTCCATGTATCAATTTCCTGCTCACATGAACCCTTCAAACTGGCCTTTTGAGCTCTCAGTGATCTAAGTCCCTTCCTGCTTTATTCCCAGGCTGTCTTTCTGTGTCTACTGCACTGGCTGGTGACATAAACCCTGTCCCACTCTCAGAAAGGGACAGTTTATCTCCAGCAGCAGTTTATCCCTTTGGAGTAGCACTGCTGCTGACGTTAATAACAGAGAAGTCTTGGTAGAGTCTGTAGCAAACATCCCTCAGGTACCTACAGCAAATGAGGAAATATTTAAAGGTGAGCTATGTCCTAATATCATCTGTTGGAAAGGACTTTATGTTTCATATATTTCATGTTATTGCTCTGAAAGACTAAACGTAGGAGCACATTTCCAACTGAAGTGCTTTTGGAAATTAAATCCATGTTTAAATGAATTTTAAACTTTTAATGCAAAATTGAGCACTTAGAAATTTTGCATCAACTCCAACTTAATTAAAATTAATAAGGTTTCAGAGAGTTTTAGTTGGGATAGATGAGGAAAGAATTTGGCCTTAAATGTGTAATTAAAATACAATTACATTGGAAGGAAGCAATTACTGAGGTTGTACCTCAAAAGCATACCTAATGGGCTATCAGGAGAAAAGGTTTATGTGTGTGGTTCACCAGCTATATAAGATATAAAAGGATGTAGTCACTGAAAGAAAGAGATTTTAACAGGATAATTTAGATAGATAGTAGCAGCTCCTTTATAGTCAAATCATTCTGGCTACATTTAGGAAGGGGACTGCTTCGTCTTCATTGGGGTGTGCAAGCACCTACACTAGTTTTCCTTTAGACACATTTAATTGTTTTCCAGCCCTCTCATGGGGCTGTGAGAGAAGGAAGTGTTGTTCAACCAGTGTCAAACATCTCTGGATGAGTAAAAAGTTAGCACTAAAAGACCTCAGCTGTCTGATTTTAGGAACTGTTTGACAAATGACTTCTCAAAGTGAAGGGCCTAATCTGATTCTGGTTAAAACCATGGAGGGACTGTTCCTCTTGGTCCCTGCACCAGTGTGCATGAAGCCCTGAGCATAGAACCAGAATTGTGGTGTCAGTTTTGCGTAAACCTGAACTTGGTGGCTTTTTTACATTATTGCCCTGGCACTCCTATGAAAAATGGTTTAATAAATAAGACATTCCACAACAAGCACAAAACAGACAGGTTTGGGAGTTAAAGTTGAAGTGTGAGCATTAAAACTGAAGCCACTTTGTGCTCTGTGGAGACAGAACAATCCATCATGTGTTTTTTTTTTGTTTTGTTTTGTTTTGTTTTGTTTAGCTTTTTTTCTTTTTTTTGGGTAATGTGATAGGTTTTGATTTTGAAGTCAGTGGTGAGGTTTCTGTTGACTGCACTGGAGTTTGGATTAGGTTCACGGAAATAAATTAATTTTATATTTTATATTATTTTATAATAAAATATATAGGTAGTCAAAGATGCAAGGTTTACAGGCCTGTTTGGATCAGCTCCTTTTCAAAGGTTCAGAGGCACGGATTGCATCGAATGGCCTGGAACACCTGGGTGTAACCTCGAGTTTGTCTCATCAAGGTGATTTGATTGTAAGTTCTTGATTTAACCTTGTTTCTTCACATAACTTTCTGAGGTGTTTAACTGATTTTTACAAGTTCAGTGTGTTTTGTAGAAGAATTGTGGGAGGGGGAATGTGCATGTCTCAGCTGTGCAGTGTTCCCTGTGATACAGTGCCAAACACAATGTAAGTAGCCTGATGTTTTACTCAACAGATACATGTCCTTGGCAAGGAAATGAATTTAGCATCAGTGGAATGCACTCTGCTGAACTGTCGACATTCAGGTCATAGTCACACTTTTATTGGTGAAGAGAAACACACCCTTTGTGTTTTAGCTCAGTAAAATAAAATTTGGTGACAGAAATTTCTCTCTACCCTTATATTCTCTGCAGCAATGCTTGTTACATGGATAAGAAGCATGTAGAGCTTGACTTAGCCTTTTTTCCACCAAAATCAGATGTCTTCAGTGATACTCAACCAGGATGTTTTTAAACCTTTTATGTTTTTAATTTTTTAAAAATTTTTAATGTAATACTGAAGATGTGGGATTGTCAGTATTGTGGTTCTCCATCACCTAAACTTGTTTCCATGTTAGAGCTCCCAAAGAAGCCTGAGAAGGGGTGTTTCATGTACGACATTATCAGCACTTGTGCAGGACTGAGTGAACTCAGCCTTCTGTGGCTGCAATAGCACAAGCACTTCCTTCCCTTAAATAGTTTCTTTCTTTTCCCCCAGGGTCTTGTAGCAACTCACACCTGCAAAAGCAGCCTTTATATCTTCCTCAAGATAATTAAATACAGATTCAAGCAGAGGAGCAATATTGCTAAGTGTCCTTTTGTTAAGTTGTTGGTCTCTGAAGATTCTCACATTTCAGTCATGATTGACCTAAGTGGCAGCAGAGCTCTCAGACATGGAAACCACATCTGGAGAAATCCCACCTCTCAAAATCACAAAACTCTTAAGGATTTACATGGGGTGACATTAGCTACCAGGATTAAATAAATGTACCAAAAACATACTCTCAGTCACAAAGGTCACTGAAAAGCCACACAGGTTTGGCTTATGCTGAGTTTTGCCTTTTTGTACCCATATGAAACATTTTTTAATGGTTCCAGAATGGGTGGAGAAATTTATCAGAGCAACTAATGGCCTGAGGTACATTGCTGAAACAGGCAAAGATTGTTGCTTATGTACACACAGCATCAATATCAGCATTTTTTCAGTGTGACTTACCTCCTGCAATCTTCGGTTCCCCCCCAGGACAGAGGCACTGTTGGAGCAGGTGCTGCCAAATGGAGAGCATCATGATAGCTGAGCCCTACTGGATGTGTTCAGAGGCTGGATGGAGGCCATTCAAGCTTTTTCACCTCTATTTTATACCAAGTTTGGAACAACGTGGTTTAATTGATACAGTGGTGTTCAGCCAAATGTTGGACTTGATGATCTTGTCGGTCATTTCCAGCCCTAATTATTCTGTGATTCTATGAATATAGGTATTCACTGCCAGACATCTGTGCCATTCAGTTTACAGGATTGTCCAGATGCTAGGTATTTATATTTTGTATCCTTTACACAGATTAAAGGGTATCTGCAGTCTAGGCTTTTAATTTTTAAGCCCTGTAACAAGACTGTATCAGTTATGTCTGAGAATATCAGGATTTGGCAAAAGTTTTGCACAGGGACATGGATAATGCTTACTTCCTTTTTTCCCTTTTTTCTTTTACTAATTAAAGGCAAAACACAAACCTGTGCATTTTTAAGCAGCTCTCTGAAATTTCATGGCTTTATAATTATTATCTATTGGACTGAAAATGAAATCTGAAATTAGACATAAAAGTCACAATATTACCAGTCCTGGGTTTAAGGCTTATATTGCTGTGAATTTCTAGGAAAATATTTAAGAATCAATTTAAATGCTAATGGACTTGTTTGCCATAAAACTAGGCAGTAGTCATACTCAATAGCTGCTTCAGAGCCATAGTATGGGTCTTTCCTTCACTGGACTTCATTTGTGACATTAAATTTAGAGATGTTGCCATGTATCATAGACCTAATAGGCAAAAGAGGGGGAAGAGGGAGGGTGTGGTTCTCTGAAACCCTGCAGAAAGCAACTTCTCAAAACCTGAAGTTTCTCATGTGGACTTTGAAACTCTGATTGTAGAGCCAGACATGAACTTGTGGAATCCTGAGAAAGAGTTAAAGGCAGAAGTACTTGTATCTTCCTGCCTTGTATCTGGTGACTTGCTGTGGTCCCCAGCTTTGCATGTGGGATGTCCTCTATAGTTCAGACATTTCAAAACTGGATCCCTCTGCCAGCTTTGTGCAGGTCCTTTGGGCTGCACTTTTTGGGGACCACAGGCACTTCCCACTCTGGGTGGTAGTGGGGTTACAGCCCATTTCCATTTCCTGAGGCCTTTCCCATTTAAATCAGGACCAGCTGCATCATTGCTTCTGAAAATCACATTCTGTGACCTCTATCACACATCTAGGGCTGGGTCCCAGACCTTGTGATAGAGAGGACAGTGAGGTGGCTCCTTTGCCTAGGACGCAACCAGTGACCTTGTTAAACTTCTGATGGGAGGGCCTGGGAACAGCACATTCCCACACATTTTCTGAAGCAGCCATGGGCAGTGATGTTCAAACAAATGGCCCTGGGTCAAGCCAACCACACAGACTTGGAGCACCCCCAGAATCACTGCCAACACATTCCTGAGCTGATGAAATCAAGTTTGCTGTGAGGCTGTGTCCTGTGTTCAGGCTTTCCAAAGTCAGATTACTTGGTGTAGGTTCCTGGGTCTCTGCTGTCTGGCTTTCACCTCTGTTCGATTTTCAGGCATACGCATTGGATATGTCCATCTGAGAAAACAAGATGTGGCTATGGACACACTGTCATGTATACACAAGCACAAGATGGTGGTGGCCCTTACCCCATTTTGGCCTGTGCTGACCAGCACTCATCCAGCAATTCCTGGACATGATATAAGAGTCAAGCCCAGGACCATTCCAAAGACAGTGTTGGGGAAAAGTGGTTGAATCACATGGGCAAGAAAGAACTGTTCTCTGCCAGTGAAACAACTCTAGACATATTTAATTCATTGTTGTATTTGTAGCATTTGAAGCTACTTCCATTTGATCAAAATTGTTTGGAAACTGCCTAGCAAATCCCAAGGTCATTTGGGAGAACTGGCAGGGAAAAAAAGAGAGAGTGAAAAAGCAAATAAACACATTTCCCAGCAGCAGTTTTTGCTAAATAGCTAGGCGGGGGAGGAAAAAAAAAAGGTGAAGAAAGCTTCCCTCCTGGTACTTGTGGATTGGGTCAAAACAGGGCAACCATAGATATCCAAAAGCATGTTTATGATCCACAAAATGTGTATGCAAGGAAATTAAAGATCTGGGAGCGACAAGTTGAAGGAGAGTGAGAAAGTTGCTCAAGTTGAGCTGTTGATGGAGGAAGGCTGCTCCTGGTGTGTCCCTACAGAACAGAGTGCACTCACAAAGACTGCTGAAGCACCTTTTGACTTTCTGTCAGAAGAGGAAACATGATTTTGTAATGCAGCCCAGTCTGAAAGAGGATGGAGGGACAGAAGCCTTGTTAACCTGGTGATAATATAGCCTTGAGACAGAGAAGATAGAGCAGTTCTGGAGAATCAGACACTTTACAAGTCCATGCACAGTGCATGATGCCATCTTGTTTGTACTGTATTTCTGCTGTGGTTGTACCCAAGAGAGCTGTGGCATGAGTGTGGCTCCCCTGTGCTAGGTGCCATGCACCCCAAAGCAGCAGAGAAACATGGCCCCTGGCAGCAGACACTCACACCAGAGAGCAGAGACACCTTGACTCCCTTTCTGCAGGCAGGGGGAGGGATGGGGCACCACAGCATTCCCCCCTTCAATGTCCGAGTGAGAGCAACAGCCTTGGGTAGGACCAAGGTGTGGGGACATTTGCCTGCATCACTTCTGAACAACTGGAGACTCATTTTCATCCTGTTGATTGTTCATCACATTGATTGTTAGTGGGTTTGGAATTTAAATATTAAAGGGCAGCTTCAGAATTAGGCAGGCAGAAACCTTAGCCCTTATTCATTAAGAAAACATCTGGAGGTTTTTTTGCCCTCCTGAATAAGGTTTGAAAAGACAAGCTGTCCTCATAAAATCTTACAAACGCCCACAGGACAATTTTACTTTGAAGTATCAATGTGACAGGGCAAAAGCAGAACAATTTGATAGTAATGATTTCAGTCACCATCCTAATGCTTCATGTTTTAAAGATCATTTTGCAAGAAAGACATCATGATTTTACAGTCACATTAGAATAATAAACCATAGCACTTAGTGAATACTTTTCCTCTAAGCTATAAAATAAATTGGAACAATAAGTGTTTTTCTCATTTTAGAGTTGGAGAAACTGAGGCCCGGGGACATGACCTTCTCATAGCACAGTCTGGGAGAACCTCACCTGTCTCCTTGTTATGGGGCTGCTCTTTAGGTCATACTGTCCCTCACCTCCTAGTCCAGACAACACGACTGATGACAGCTCTCTGCAGGAGAAAGCAGATGCAGATTGATATTCTCTCTCCCTCTGTAACTTCAGGCACTTCACCAAGACATCTCAGATAGAGTATTGAAACTGTCATTACAAAAAAAGTAAAAGCAGAAAGAAGAAGTGTCAGGATCTAGTCACAATAGACAAGCTGAATACAATTCACCAGACCTGCTGATAGTCTCAGGAGAGGGGTGGGGTGGCCACTGAGTCACCTTTTCCCATCATTTTTGCTGGCACATTCTCTGTCCTTTCATCTGTCTGAGACAAGCAGTAGTGTTGTCCCCAGCCTGGGTGTCTGCATCTCACCTGGTCTCACAACAGGCTCCCTTAGTGGCATTACAGTCACCAAGAGGTGGGGAACACAGGGGCGTGCAGCTGGTACTGAGCATCCCTTTGAGTGCAACGAGCACAAAGGCAAGAGGCCGGTGATATGTCAGATTTCTAATTAAGATTCACCAGTCTCCAACCTGGCTCAATTCATTATTCATCTGGAAATTTTCCTCCCTAACATCCTTCTTTTCTTTTGCTGTCACCCACTAAGCAAAGCTATTCTTTTCCCTCCCAGAAGCTCCATCCACATCTCTGCTTATATGTCGCCCTCAGATTGTGACAGAAGAGAAAGAAATGGTTACAAACCAGGTCCTGGAGCAGTCATCAGTATTTACAGGGGTCTGACAATGACTTATCTTAGACCATTTACATTTAAACTACAGACATGCAAATGAGGTGTTTTCTGCATTGTGAGCAGCAATGATGGGATATTCTTACACTAGTAGAGATTTGTTGCTCTTCCAGAAATATTTCTTCTTGTTGCTGCCCTGGCATCTCACTGTAACATAGTCAGGCATTTGGGTAGGAAAGGCAATACAAAAGAGAGTGGATTTCCTGGATCAGAAACAGGTGTACATTGCTTAAAATTTTGGCAGAGGAAAGAAGGGAGGAAAAAGTCTTCGCAGCAGTTGTTCACCATCAGACCCTCTGCAGAGCTCTTTTGTGGCACTTGCCCAGCCACCCAGTGAGTGATGAACTGATATAAAAGATTGATCCAGATAAAATATTTAGGGATTGACATGATTAAATATGCAGGATTTGAAATGAACATTTCACTCTCCACCGTTTTTCCACAAAACATGACCCCATATTGCACACTGTGTGTAAGATGGGCATGAGGGAAAAAAGTAAAAAGAAGGAAAATTTCTTAACTGGATGCTCTCTTTTGAGCCTTCAGAGGAAAGAGAGATTGTGCTGATGGGGACATAATTCTCAAGATGAGGTTTCAATGCAGGGTACCTGCAGGGAGGAGGAGTACTGCCTTCCTCCCTGCTGCCCCAGGGAAGAGCCTGCAGGTGCTCTTGCTATGACAGTCGTGCTCACTCACCACAGCATCCTGGCCCTGGAACACCAGTTGAAAGCTGTCCAGAGCATCAGATGGCACGTCAGAGAGCAGAAAGCAATTTCAGCCATGGGATTGCTTCTCATAGCAGCACTCATTGCCAGTTCAAGGTTGTCAGCCTCCCAAACTGACTTTTATTCTCAGCTAGGGTGGTTGTTGTTTTGTTTTGGTTTTTTTTTTTCCTTAACACAGCAATCTTTATGCTAGGCATCACTTGCAGAATTGGCTGGAAAGATATAGATTATCATTCCATCAAGTTCCCTAGATCTGAATCTTCATGTTTATTTGTCTTTGCATGACTGAGGAATGCAGTCAGGGATGCTCTGGGAGTAGAGTCTGCCCTCAGGAACAAGGAAAAGCCCCATGAGTGTAAGAGATAATTTCACTACAACTTGGATGTATGAGATGTGGGAGGACACCCCCCTCTTTTTTTGCTGCTTGTTTATGTTGCTGTGTGAGCTATTTCCAAATGATGAAAGTGTTTGCCAGAAGTAGACAGGTTGTTGTGAATGGCATAGCTTTTGAATTCTGCTTATAATTACCCTTCTTTCCTGTACATTTTTTCCTTCCTTTTATTTATTTATTTTAAATTTTTATTTTTAGGGCCTGTATCCAGTACATTTCTGCCTTACAAGAAAATCTTAATAGTCCATTGCTTGATTTCCATGCTAATTAAGCATGTGGCTTCTCTAAATAACTACCACATCCTCACTTACTTAATATGTACTTTTATACCCTTAGAAATAATCTGATAACATTGTCAGAGCAAAATACAGAACAAGAAACTGCAGGGATTAGATATCAAGGAGGACACTATAGGGACTGTGTTAATTGAGGCAATCAGCAAGATTAAGATAAGTCTTGCTGCTTCCTCATATTGGTCTTAATGACACAACACAGACCCCAAAGCACTTTACCTGCTGTACAATGTGGTTAAATCTCTCTCTTCCCTGGGGTTTGTAATCTAATCTGCTAGATAAAACACTTAGCAGACTCAAACCAGCTGGTGCTAAAAGCTGTATTTCTAAGATACAGCAACCTGTGTAAGGCTTTAAAGTCTACTAAAAATAGTGAAAGCCAAAAATGTTGTCATTTGGTGTGTATGTGCATGTACAAAGATA